AATAAAGACAAAATATTTGATTGATGTCTATGTATCTTTAGCAAAAATCTCACACAAATTCTAATAATCTATTTAACGTCTACTCAACTTCAATAATATCTACATCAATTATTATTTTTCCTGTGAAGCTGTCAATCCTCTAGCTGCTGAAATAAAAACATCTAGAATTCACTGCTGATTCCATCCTATCTGCAAGCTTCCAATGTCACCTTCAAAATCAAGCCAGACCAATCACTTTATCATCGCTTCAGTGCCTGGTAATCAGGAACCACCAAAAATCTGAGTGTCCTTGCTTCTATACTACAGGTACACTGGCTAATCATGACAAAGGGGCCGGAGTGAGCTTCTGAGTCTTAAATCACACAGAATGGAGGGAGGGAGTTTGGGGAATCTGCTACCCGGCAATGCTCATGTGTGTAAAGATTCTGAATTAAACCTCTAAATGGTCTTGAGAATTTAAAAAAGAACTGATGAGTTTACCTTCTTAGACCTTCCTTGGACAGACATACTTTTGAAACTGGTTTAATTCCACTTCAGAGTCAAATAAAACTGTAGAAAAAAAATCTTTCTTGCACACCAAAATGTAAGCTTCATGAAGACGATGACTTTTGTTTTATATATCCTTATATGTCAACAGCAAAATAATGTTTTATAAACAAATGTATACAGATCACCTATGTAACTAAGATGATCATCCAACTTGACTCTAGTACAAGATAATTGAGGACGTAGTATTTTATTTATATCTGAACACAGAACTATAAAGTATTTTAAGCATAGTTCTACCCTAAGAGTAACAGAAAAATGTAATAGTAGTTGCAGAGTATTATAGTCTAGGGTCTGATAAAACATTAAGCCAGAAAACTATTCCAAACTTATTACCTGCTCCAGCAATTTAAGGTAATTTTTGCATCTGGAACAGAAAGGAAAAAGCCATGTGAGTTCTCAATGAGTTGGATATAAGTGAGATGCCTTGGTATACTTTATTTGGGCCTCTAAATGAAATAAGTAGCTTGAACAAAATGGAAGCAAATTAACTTGCAAATAAAGAAACTACATATCCATGCATTTTCAAAAGGAAGGTAAAATATTTATTTAAATATTCAGAAACAGTTATATACAAGAAACAAAGTATTTATAAACATCATTTACTAGTGCTCCAAATGCTATTCAATATAAGTAGATGTGACATTTCTAAATTACAAGTTAAGATTCAGTAAAACCAAGGAAAAACTATTCAGTACACAATTATCTCTTCCTTTCGATTGGTATATATTAAATACATAATGCAAGGAATTGCATTATGTCATTTTCACACATCATATAATATTCTTTGGTCAGTTTCATTGTAACCTCTTTTTGTTATATGTGACAAGTTCCTTTCAGAGCTTTTATATCCCATGCTAGAGATATACTAGAGATATAATTAAAGGACTTAACACTTTATTTCTATGAAATTAGATTCTTAGGTGAACTTCACAATTCTGAAAAAGTTATTCACAAATAACTGAAATCCATTCCAAAAAGATCACATGAGAAATATACAAAAAAATCAAAAATCTTTTTTCTTACATTTTTCTACATTTCTCTATTTTTGTAAAGTTTATTAGCATACATTAGCTGTACAAGAGATGTTTCATTGTGGCATTTCCAAACATGTATACAATGTATGCTGATCAAATTCACCATCCCCCTAATTGCTTTCCCTTCCCACTTCTAAAACAAGTTGAACAGATTTCTTCATGCTATTTGGAATCATGCAAATAAACTATTTTGACAATATTTATTCATATTCACATTCTATATTCATCCTCTCTCTCTCGTTGATATCCTCCCCCTTAAAAAGAGCTTGATGCACTTACTTTTAGGTTAACCAAGACAATATGAATGACAACTTCACTAGACACTCTATCTCCTGAATGTCTAACATGGCATATGTCAACTAGCAAATGAATAAATAAACACTTGATGAATGGATCGAAGCAAGAATAATTTTTGCCCATTGGAGAAAATATATTCACAAACAGATTTACAAGGTAGAAATAAAAAATAGAAATATATTAAGGACAGTGTAACTACTATTAGAAGTAAGTATAATTTGATTATTTCCCTTTATATTTAAAATATCTGGGTTACAGGTATATGAAAGTCATGTTCTTTAAAAGATACATTTGGATATTCAAAACTATTAAGTTTGTAACAACTCTATTAGAAATGACCTTAAATTTAGTCTTTGCACTTTGTATTCTTAAAATGAATTAAATGTTTAATTTTGTTGAAAAATTTTCATTTTGCTAGTTATTGTTTTAACAAGACATGAACTAATGAAATTAACAAATTTCATTTTACTTACACACACACACACACACACACACACACACACACACACACACACACACACACACACACCTCAATATCTTTGATATAGTAATTGCTTACTGCACCAGTAAATTTTCTCCAAATTATGTAGTATATATTTTCACTTAAGGAAAACCTGAAACTAATCTAAACCTTGAAACTTTTTCACTAAAACAATCTGAACTTTTAAACGATCCTTAGGAACTCATAGGAAATCATAAGAACATAGCATTACTAAGTCACTCATTTCAAAATGATAAGCAACTCAGCCTTGCTTCATTTCTGGCCAAATAGTAAACAACATAGCTTTGCTTCATTCTTCTCATGCTTGTGTGAGTAAGTGTGGTTTTGTTATCTCCATGAGCCAAGGTTTGAACTCACATATATCAAATCACTCACTTGAATTTGTGAATTTAAGTAGTTGTGTACATTATAAAACAGTGGATTTTGAGAATCTAGGTTTTAAAAACTTCTACCTCAAAGACTATGCTTAAGCTTTGGCACATTGAACTGGTCATATATATCAAGAACTAGAAAAACTATATATACTGGCACAAAAAATAAGTTATTGAACTGTGACAAGGTATACTTCTGTAAGTGTTGAATCAAAATCTAGTTCCATAGCTATTAATACCCAAATTTTAATATTTAAAATATCAGAAATAGTGAACACTAGGTGTCAGTGTAAGAAATGGAAAAATATTTGTAAAAACCTGTTGTTTCCAGTCAGGTGTATAACAAAAAAATCAAAAGCAGCTGTGACCACATTTACTTATAATTGCATAATTCAGTTAACAAGCCAATCTTTTCAAACAAAGATTCCTGTTCCCAAACTATCAAGTTTAAAATCAGATTAAGCTGATTATTATAAATTACAACTCTTTTGTGACCTGAGCAGTGTAATACACCATTTTGTTTTTACTTCTAAGAATATAGATGTTTGAACCAAAGTTTACTTTTAAGAATACATATTTCTAATAATAGTGCTAGGCCCAGATATGATGGATATGGACGCATAGCTGCAGGATTTCGGCTGGTAAATAATATCGCTGGGCGAAATGTTTTTAAAAAAAGTTTAGTCACTTGGGCTCTCATTCCAATTGCTGGCTCAGGGCTGGCATGTGACCATTTGAGCCGCACCCAGTCCTGTATTTTGATGGCTAAGTGGAGATATAATCTCATGAACTTTCTGTCCAGACTGGCTTCTAACTTTTGATTTGCCAGCTCTCAGCCTCCTTAGTAGACAGGATTACAGATGTAAGCTACAGGCACCCAGCTACATGCATTATTTTATATAATGTATATGAGGTAGGTAAATTCCAATATATTAATAAACAGAGATTCAGAAAGATTAAATAATATAATTAAACACTGGGTTAAAGGCTAATACTTCATTCTGCTGTATTTATTATATATGTATAAATTTGATTAGTAAAAATGATATAGTTTTCATACTTATCCATATTATTTCCCATACGCCTCTAAAATAAAAAAATGGCAGTCTCTAAATAAGCTGAGTTATCCTGCCAGAATATTCCATTCATATTGTTGTAATACAATCCCTGGATCACTCCACTTGATTTTCTTCAAACATTTTCTCTTAAAAGTATTAAGAGTTGGTAATACCTATCTTTAAGAAACTACCATCAAACCCAATTTATTTAAAAAATATGTTGAAATATAGCAGTTCTTACCAGTGTTTCTCATCAAAGTCACCTGTGATGTGTTTCAAGGGGTAGCCCAGAATTTTTTATTCAAGGAATATGAAGTAGAGCTTGGGAGCTGTTTAAGCCCAGCAAGTGGCTCTGAGGTGAACTCTGAGCTGACAACCATTGCTAAATACCATAGGAGAGATGATAAAATGAAAGCATAATCAACTACCCTATTCATCATACTTAGTTCTAAATTATTTTATTGATTTTTAATAGCCAAAAACATTTAAAAATGTAAAACACACACTAACATGCATGAACATTTGTATCCTGTTTGCCTAATTGACAGTTTTCAGTCAAAATGTCATTTAAATTTTTTTAAATGCTAGCAATTTGATAGCCCAAACTTCATTACAAATTACCAATCTAAATTAGTGTTTCTCTAATCTGGACTTCATAAGGTTCAAAAAGCTCCATAATGATAGAATTCAGATCAGCAGGAGGGGTAAAAAGGATACTACACAGAAAAAGGAAATAATTTTAGTATAGAAAAATTCTCTATCACAATTGCATTATTGTTATAACAAGATCCCATTGACAAAATGAATCAAATTATGGACTCAAAGAGGTAAATACTGTTTTATGTAAGTTATCTGTCAATAAATCCTACAAAAAATCCAAACACAGGGCTGGGAAGATGGCTCAGTGGTAGAGCGCTTGCCTTGCATGCATGAGGCCCTGGGTTCAGTTCCTCAGCACCATATAAGCAAAACGAAAAAAGCTGGAAGTGGCGCTGTGGGTCAAGTGGTAGAGTACTAGCCTTGAGCTGAAGAGCTGAGGGACAGCGCCCAGGCCCAGAGTTCAGGCCCCATGACTGGACCCCTCAAAAAAAAAATCCAAATATAAGTAAAAATGTCTTTGAACACAATAGGTTTTAATCCAAATGAAAGAGAAGGACTGTATTGCATATGATGATTATATTACTCTTACCAGGTTAACTAATTGAGTGTGTACTACATCTTCTACCAAAACCGCTGTTTCATGAAGAGGCCTTCTGGCATCACCCAAAGAAAACCTGCAAAAAGAAAAAGACCTAATTATGATTCTAACTATTTCCAAGCAGGTTATCAAGAACTGATTACAGATTTGTCTAAAAATCTTCTCAAGCTTAGGGACAGCACCTAGGCCCAGAGTTCAAGCCCCATGGCCAAAAAAAAAAAAAAAAATTAAAAATTAAAAAACTCTTCTCGATTTTTCATTTCACTAGATATGCAGAGAGTCTCTTTCTAAGAAGAACACTAGAAATGTACAATAATGCATTAAAATATCATTAAAGCCTGTGGTAGCAATATAGAAAACAAAAGTCAGATTAGATGATTAAAAGCAGTTCTGTGGAGTGAGAGCACTGGATCCCAAATCACTCTTCAGGCTAGTAACTTAAAGATTAGACAGTGCTGTATAATAGTCAAGGTAGGGGAAAGCATGTGGAGATTCTAAACGAAACGGGATCAGTTTGAAGAACCCAATTTAAAAGCAAGAAGCCAAATATCAGTAATGATCAGTGCATGAATGACAAAAGCAGCCATTTCACAGAATGAATTTTACCAACAAGGGCTTTAGATGTGAGAGAAGGAAAAATAAGGGAAAAAAGATTCCTTAAGAATTAGTAGCTATGGGTTGGGAAGGTGGCTCAGTGGTAGAGCGCTTGCCTTGCATGCTCGAGGCCCTAGGTTCAATTCCTCAGCACCACATAAGCAAAAAGAAAAAAGCCGGAAGTGGCGCTGTGGCTCAAGTGGTAGAGCACTAGCGTTGAGCTGAAGAGCTGAGGGACAGCGCCCAGGCCCAGAGTTCAGGCCCCACGACCGGACCCAAAAAAAAAAAAGAATTAGTAGCTATAATTCACTTTCACGCTCTTAGAAGTGTTTTCATTAATGGAAACACACACACATACATACATACAGAAATAAAGCTAAAAGTTAAAATGATTTATAGTGACAGTATTCTCAGGTACCAGGCAGCATCATCCCATGTAGAACATATTTAAATAAACTTGAAAATATTTCCAATAGTTGATACTTAAAATGCATTATATACATGGTGGCGGGGAGAGGGGGGCATCCTGTAGGCAGGCTAACAATCGAAAAAGTCTATACATAACAAAATAATCAAATAATAAATGCATCTCAATTATGTGACTCATAATTTTAAAAACTAAAAAGTACATGTAGGGGAAAAAAAACTACCAAACTCATCAGCCACATATGAAAAACACCGAAAAGAAATACAAGTGAAAAATATGATCAATAGAATTTTAAAAATTAATGGGAGCCTGGCACTAGTGGCTCATACCTGTAATTCTTGCTACTTAAAAGGTTAAGATCCAGAAAAATCTCTGTTCAAGACCAACCCAGGCAGAAAAGTCTGTGAGAGTCTATCTCCAAAAAATCAGCAAAAGGCTGGGCTAGTAGCATGGCTCAATTGGTAGAGCACCAGGCAAGTAAGCAAGTAAACTGATTGTGAGGTCCTAAGTTCATTCTTACTCACAAAAATCAAAGGGATAAAACTTGATTTAATAGCAGATTAGGTTAAACTAAAAATAATGGTGCTCTAGACTACAGTTCTAAGGAAATTACCTATTAATGCAGTATGGGTAACAAGAGAAGGCTATGATAAATGTTATGCCAAAACTATGGATACTGTGGTGAAATGGGTAATTTTTAGAAAAATGTAAATGACCAAAATCAATCCAAGAAGGAGCAGAAAACTCAATTAGTTCTATGAATTTTAAAGAAACTGAATTAGCAATAGGTCCACGATAGTGGAATTAAGCAGGCATTTGGGTAATTTCTATTCATACACTTCTATTCTTTAATGAGCATATTGTTTTAAGAATTTATCAATTTGAGCCTCTGAAGTCAAGGAGTTCATGTAAGTCAGTGGACGAGTAGATTCTCAGCTGACATTTATTTCATTGTAGTTACTGCTCCTACTCAGGGGAGGAAAGAAGGTCCCAAGTAAAAGGTTGAGAAATATCTAAGCCCAGATATTTCACATGGCCTTTATCCAACTAAGAAGTTTACAATATGCAACTGTAAGTGGCTGTGCATTCCAGCCATCACCAATATGAAAGGGGAATTGTTATGATAAAAAACAAAAAGAAAGAAAGAAATATTCTCCTGGCCTCAGTCACCACTGGAACTAGGAAGTAACATCTCCCACTTCATCCATAAGGTCCTCAACAAGGCAAAGGAGAGGACTAGGATATGATGATTTTAAAAGATCCCTTTTCAGACACTTGATTTTTCACAACTGTAATCCTTAAATCATAAAATCAGTATCTTCAAAAATAAGATAATATATATGAAAATTAAATCTTACAACGTAAATTGGATAACAATCATAGAATTAATAAGAAAGGGAAAATTTAAAAATGAAAGGAATGGGAAAAGTTAATAATATATGGAGAAAAACCATTTCCAAGAAGTTTTCCATTTTCCCTTACAGATATATTTTTTTAAAGGCTAGAGATGTTATCATAAGATTTTATACTGTTCGAGTACATTTAATAGACTTTTTAATGTAAAATGCCTTTTTTAAAAAAAAATTTAAGACCTGAGTGACAACAGAGAAGGGTTGATGGACTTTTAATCAAAGAAGCAAAAGAGATGTTTGATAATAATCAAAACAAAGCACCTAAAAGACAGTTACAAAGAACCCAGGTCCAAGCAGATCTGCTGGTAAAGTGCTGAAGATCATATATAAAGGAAAAGGCAAAGGGGCTTCTGTAGTCCATCTTCGTGGATACTGAGTTGCTTTCAATGCTCACCACTGGCTACAAATGCTGATGTGGTTAAATTATTCTGGATGCTGTGGTTAAGTAATTGCTGTGGTCTTGGGAGCTAGCTACTTTTTTTTTTTTTTAATTAACTCTGGCTTCTTGGATGTTTTCTTCCCTCAGGTAATTGATATTGCTTAGGAATAGACATCAGGTGACTGGTAGTAGGTGTAAGAAGGCTCTGGGTGACTGGTCTCAGAAAGAAAGTTCCCTTCAAAACATTTTATTTGATTATACTGTTATAGGCTAGGGTACTATAATACTCAAGAGTTTCTCCTAAATGGAATTAAGAGTGAGTGGGCAGGCTTCAGTCCTAGCATGCATGAAGTCAGCTAATTTGGCACTAGACAGCACATGCAAACACAGACATCATTTTGTTTGTGTCATTTCTTAACCAGTCTTTATTGATAATGATTTACCACAGTCCAAAGGAGATAGGTGAGAAGTTGGATCAGTCATTTAAGGCAAACACAGGGTCAAAAACCCAGGCCAATTATCCTTACTCTTTAATTTTTATACCTCTGTAAGTTCTCACAACATTATTTTTTCCCTTCTGTGATTGTTTTTCTCACTGCTTTCCTCATTACTTCACTCAATTTCCCCCTTTTTCTAATCATAGTATGTAATTTGACATAATTTAAATGAAGTTTTGAGACTAGATTTTGAATTTTATTGTAGCCCATGAATATGATATACAGATGTTTAATAAAAATATTTCTCATGTAACATAATATTGATGCAAAAACCAAGCTATATTAACACACATTTGTTTATGATAAAAGGTAACAGGGAATATTTTGAAAAGATGAGTACTTAAATTATCAGTAGGAATCAACTAGTCTATGGATATTTACCAAATTTCTAGTATGTGCCTGGCACTATTCTATTTGCTTGGAATATAACAGTGCACAAAACAGACCCAAAAAAATGAGTACAGTTTACATTCCAATTAAGAAAACATAAACTATACATAGTATTTGGGTATTAAAAAGATGGCATTCCAAAAGAAGTAATGCAGAACACAATCAAAAAATAGGAAGTGTGAGATGGGAGACAGTTGAAATATTAAAAGGGATTATTATGTACTTTTTGATGTATGAAAAAATAGCTTTCAATATGAATTATATATTACATATGTCTATGTATACATACATATATATGTATAAATTAGCAAAATTTGTACAAACCAATATTCATCTATGAAAACTCATCTATTATTTCTAGGAAAGTTTATAAAAATAGCAGGATATCTACATGAATTTTGTCTCAGAAGACATAGGTCAATTTTTATCATAGATCCTGTATAAAACACTATTTGAAGAACAGGAAGAATAATGAATAGAGCAATAGCAAACACTGAAGATTGCTAACTCACAGAAAAATGGAAAGAACAGCACACAATGAACATCTACATATCTGCACATAAAATCATATATTCTCTCTCAGAAACTAATTTACATTCATCCACACCCAATGTTACATCTTACCAATATCAACTTCCCTTTATTGAGCACACATAACTATTACATATTTATTTTACAGGTGCCAAGCACCATTACACCCCATAATGCACTATCGCTATAAATCTGCCTCTTGATGAGATCTTCCTTATATTAAGTAAAATTTTATTTTTTTTAAACTTCCAAATAGTGGGCTTAGTTCTTTCAGTTCCCCAAACGAGATGGAATATCAAATTACATGATAGGGCTTAAAAGTATGAAACAGTTTGCATTCAAAATAATGGTTTGTAACCATTTACTGTTACTCCCCATTCTTCAATTTTTTTTAAATTTATTGGAAAGTTGATGTACAGAGGAGTTACAGTTACACAAGTCAGGTAATGAGTACATTTCTTTTTGAACATTGTCACCCCAACTCTCCATTCTTATTCCCAGTCCTAACAACCACTAATCAACTTGAAGAAAACACGCATTTCCTTTCAATGTTAAAGAATCACCATTTCTCATCATTTATGTCTCCATGTAAATAGCATTAGAAAGTCTTATCTTTTACCACTTTCAATTCTTGATGAATCAGGATGGTACTTATGTATTCAGGTCTTGTCCAAGTGTGCATGTGAATATAAAAGTACTCAAACTTTTAATAAATAGCAAAGGAAATAAAAACTCTACTCAAAATGATGAACAAGTCATAAGCCAAATATAAAGCCCTTTGGCAAAATGACATCCTTAATTTAATAGATCTACTAATCACCACTTTTATGAACTATAAAGAGATAA